TCTGTATCCCCAAGCCCGGTGTGCCAGTTCACCAAAGCTCCGGCTGAGGTTCTGCTGGGCACCCGCAGGCGCCTGTGTCCCAATAAACCAACCTCTTGCTTTTGCAGCCAGTGTTTCGTGTGATTCTCCTTGGACAGGGATACGGGGGTCTTTCATTGGACGGGGGTCTTTCATACCCAGAGCTCAAAGCAGGATCTGAACCCATTCGCTTTGGCAAATAGTCACACCTGATTGGACGGAGTCCCTGTGGAGGGAGGGGCCGGATGGTCCCACCCACCCCCAACTTCCCTCCGGCCCCAGTAGGTCAGTCGCTGGCTACCTGCCCCACCGGGACGCTGCCCCCACCTCTGCCCCAAGACTCATTGTCCCAAGACGTCACCTGTGGGAGTCTTCGCGTCCGAGTCCCGGGTTAGCCAAGGTTGGGGACTCTGGCGGCGGCGGCAATAGTGAACTTTCTCTGCTCCTTTGAATGGCACTACGGAGAGGGCACAGGGTGAGGGTCCCTTCAGCCCTGACGGGCATCTGGGTCGTCCATTATCAGTCACGAGGGATGCTGTCGGCCTTGCTGCAGGGTCCACCTGGCAGCCTCCGTGGACCTGAGGGCGGGCGGGAACCGCCAGGGCACGTTTCACTTGGTAAGAAACATCACAGGTTCGCAAAGCAGCTGCACGCCTTGGCCTCCCACCAGCGAGCCGAGAAGTTCACCTCACTCCTCTCCAACGTTCGGGGAGTTAGTCTTAGCCGTCCTGTGGGGCGAGTGGTGTCTGGGGTGTGTGTGTGTGTGTGAGAGAGAGAGAGAGAGAGAGAGAGAGAGAGAGAGATAGAGAGAGAATTCTGTACACCCAGTGCCCAATCCCGGTGTCCGTGGTTTCCCGGTGCCGACGATCAGCGCTGTGTAGCTCACGTGTTGATGGATAGAAGACGCTCCACATGCCACAACCTGGATGCAGCTTGAGGACATTATGCTCCGGGAAATAAACCAACACACAGACAATGTGGGAGTCCCCTTAGGTGAAGAGAGTGGCCAGTGCAGAGAGACGGAGCGCATGGGGACTTCGTGCTCGGGATGAGGAAGAATGGAGAGTCATCGCTGAGTGTGTCCAAGGTTCAGGTTTTACAAGATGAAAAGATTTGCGGAGGTGGGACATGGGACAGTTGCATGACATTATGGATGTACGTGACTCCACGGAACCGCCCACCGAAAAGGGATGAAGCTGATACGCTGTATGTCAGGTGTGCTTTACCAGAGGACACAGATCCATTTCCCATGGGAACGAAGATGGTACACCGAGGTGAGACCCATTCAGTTTCTTGTGACATTACACAAGAAACTGAATGGGTCTGACATTACACCTGCCAGATGAGTTAGCAGCTTCACTCCTGGAGATTTTGTCTTAGAAGAATTCAGACGTCCGCCCCCACATGGAGCTGTACCCTATGGTCATAGCAGGTTCAATTCACAATAAAAAACTGGAAATCCTACAACAGTTCATCAACAGGAGAACAGACAAGGGTCAGCGTATTCACACAACGGAACACTACTCAGCAATGAAAAGGACATAATCACTGACACACAAAGAAACAAATGAGGATTTAAGATATTACGCCAGACACAAAAAAGCCTGATGTCCCCCCAACCCCCACAGTGTCAGAATGAAACTGAGGCCTGTGGAAAACATGGAAATGAGGGCAGGGGTTCTGAGCAGGACAGTTCCACCCAGGACCCTCGCCCGGGTCCGTCCTTCCACTGGAGACCCTCCCTTGCTCTCCCCTGCACCCACACTCGGCTCCCGGGAGGTTCCCACAAGATGGCAGAGGAGCTAAAGGCTTCTGGGTCAACAGCTTGTCCTGGTCATTCCCGGACAGCGTGACCCTGGGCACTTGCCTGGACCTTCCTGGACCTGTTGGTGTCATCCGGAAGGTGGGGAGAGAGTGTACGTCTCTGTCGGAGGATTGAGCTGTGTCTACGACGTGCCTGGGCCTGGGCCTGGCAATGACGCTGGGCTGCTAACGTCAGGGGTGACCTGCTCCCCTGGACTGGACCCACGGGCCTTTCCCTGTTGTCCCTCCCTCTGTCCTCCTGACCCAGGAGCAGGGGCCGCACGCCCATGGCCTTCCATGCTGCCTGTCTGGTTCCCCAGACCTCGGGCTCCCAAGGGCTGGGGCTGCGCTGACCTGCTGAGACGCTGCCTGGCCGTGGTCCACCCTCCGTGAATGTCTGCTGGCTGAGGAAGTGACCCGCACTGTGCACGGCCCCTCGGGGCAGCCGTGCTGTCCCCCATCCCCGCCACCTTCATCCTGGCCCAGGCCCCGCTCCTGAGGCGGAGGGTGGGCAGTGCCCAGGAGCGGCTGGGACCAGCTCCCCAACCGCAGTGGGGGCAGGAGGGTCTCCAGGTGCCACAGGACACGGAGCTGCCCCTGGCTCACGGGACCCTCTGCAAGACCTGGGCCCTGTCACACGAGCCCCTGCCACTTGTCCCTCAGACACCAGGGAGGGGCTGAGCAACAGCGTCCCCAGCGCCCCCAGCCTTGCTGAGGCCCCTTTGTCCTGGAGGCTCTAACAAGGGCCAGGCCCCGGGACAGGGCTGGTGTCCATCATCCTGGGACAGGACGCCAGCCCCCTCCTCCTTGGGCCCCAGGTCCAGCCTCACGGCCCGTCTCCTGAGAAGCCAGAGCGGGGCAGGCGGGTGGGGCAGCGGGGCCGGCTGTGGGCGGCCCCCCCTGGGCCCTCCCGATGGCTCTGGGCCCTGCGCTCTGCACAGGCTCCCACCGCACCCTCCTGGCCACTCAGACCCAGCTCCCGCGTGGCCTCCCCTGCCCCCCTGCACGCGCCACGTCTGGGCTAGTTCCCCACCAGCTGTGACCTCCCTGAGGTCAAAGTCCCAGCCTGTCACCTCCCTGTCCCCTGGAGCAGCATCCTGGACCCAGGAAGAACCTCACGATCTGCAGATGCACTGTCTTGCTTCACCCCTCGTGGGGGGCACTGCCACGGCTCCCCTGGGGAACAGGGACAGCCATGTCCCAGGCCCAGAGCTGGGTGGGGAGGGCCAGGCAGAGCTGGGACCCTGACCAAGCATGCGGAGCACCCACAAAGCCACCGGGGACCAGCGGCCCAGCGTCTGACGTCTGCCGCACCATCTCTGAACCGATTTCCTCTCCGCCTTGTAAGTGCCCGAGGCACCAAAAAATAAATAAATAAAAAGGAAGATCCGCAACCAGAGGCCCAGCCCCGGGCAGCCGGCCAGCCTTGGATCTTCTGAGAGGCGTGAGGTGGCCAGTTCTGCAGTGACCCTGGTCCCCTGCAGGACCACCGGGCCCACTCTCCTCCTCTCCACCACGACGGGTCCCAGGGCCTGAGGGCATGTGCTCCCTGCCCCCCGACCTGGCTGCCCCCTCAGCCTGCGGCTAGCACGGCCCCTCGAGGACCCCGTGGTGGCACTGGACTGTGCTCCCCCAGCCCCCACAGGTGGCCGGCCTGGGACAGGGGCCCAGAGGAGATCTGCACTCAGAGCGCCCACGGTCGCCGGCCTGCCCGGGCCTGCACACGGATTCCCCGGGGGCAGGTCCTCTCACCTGCTGGCATTGTCCACTCCGTGGGGTGTGACATCCCTGCTGCCACCTGGCTGTTGGCTGGCATGCTTGGTGTCATGAACATGCCATGGTGTGAGTGTCCCTAGAGCCCGTCCTCTGTGACCCACGAGGGGTGGCCTCTAGTCTGCAGTGGTCACTGCCTTTCCCGTGTGGCCTGCACCTTCAGTGAGCAACTGTACGCATTTCCGCCACGTCCGGGCCTCTGAGCAGGACTGCAGGCCACATGCCCGAGGCCCAGCTTCTGGGGTGTGGCCGGTCATGGCCCTGGTGGTGGGGCCGGTCCCGACACCCAGCTTTCCTGTCCCTGCATCAGGGACTCTGGAGTGGGGGTGTGGGCAGAGCCCGGGAGGGGACAGGGAGGCTCAGAGACGCCTGTGAGGTCCTCCAGCACATCACGCTTCAACAGAACAGGTTGGAAAAATGTCCCTCTGTCCTCTGTCCTTGTCACCTTCCCTCAATATGCAGACCTCTGGGCACAGCCTCCTGTGTGCCAGATGCCTGTGCCCACAGGGCAGTTCAGAGGGCAGCCTGGGGTCCCCGCCATGACCCCATTCAGGCCACGTCTCTCCTGCAGGGTCCCGCCACCCCTGCCCAGAACCCCCGGCCAGCCGTTGAGTCAGGCTTCTCGGTAGGAAGTGGCCACTCTCCTCACTAATGTGCATCATTACGCCACAGACGGGACACGTCCTGCGTGTTGGCGTGACGTGTGAGTATGTGATCGACAGGCGTGACTTCTGAACTTGGGGAACTCGTCACTGTCATTGTTAAGAGGGTTTCAGAAGGTCCAGGGAGTGGTGGAGCCTGCCCAGCGTGCCCGAGGCCTGGGCTCCATCCCAGCTCCGCACACACAGCTACGGAGCTCCTAAAGATGGCAGTAAGTACCCGCAAGGACCGCGCCAGGCTCTGGGCCGGAGCCCCTGCAAGAGGAACAGGTGAGACGTGGGCTGCACGGGCCAGAGCCACGGCAGCCAAGAGGACCCACCCACCCACCCCGCAGCCCGCCGGAGCACCTGCCCACTGCTCTGCCCTCCCTCTGGGAGCCAGAGGCCGATGTCCTCGGCTTTCCCCTCCCCGTCACCCTGCACCTGCCCCAGGACCTCAATGTCCTCTGCAAAAATGGGACCTTTGTTGAGAGAACCTGGGACCTGGAGGGGACTGGAGGGGACTGGAGGGGACCTGGTAGGGACCTGGAGGGGACCTGGAGGGGACTGGAGGGGACTGGAGGGGACCTGGAGAGGGCCTGCGCCCACAGAGCCACACAGGGGCAGGACCCTCCGTTCTCATAGGCGGTGGCTCTGGACGGCCAGGACCCACTCAGGAGGGACACTGCGCATCCAGCTTCACTCAGGCAGGATCTGGCCCTCGGCCACCTGTCCTCATGGGGTCCCGGCCAGGAGATGCCCTGGACCTCAGGGACATGGCCTCAGGGACCCCGCCCGGCAAGCCCAGGAAAGGTGAGTGCCCAGCAGGCAGCCAGGAGGTCAGGGGCGGAGCCTGCAGCAGGTGGGGGAGGCGGGGCGGAGGGCCCCTGGGGTCCAGCTGTGAGGAGGGGCAGCAGCCTGGACTGGGGCTGGCCTGGCCAGGACTGCAGCCACTCGGATTCCCCCAGGGAGCTGACCCAGCTGCCTGGGGCCATGCAGGCTGCAGACCCTCAGAGCGCCCAGTGGCCCTTGGGGGCTTGGTGGGCCGCCACTGAGCCCCAGGGCACCAGGCAGGAGCAGGGACTGAGGAGCAGCCCCGGGGGCCTGCAGGCGGCAGCCCCCTCCCCTCACTGGGTGTGGGCAGAGAGCAGAGGGGGCAGCGGGCAGCTCTCCAGCCCAGGCCTGTCCCTGGCCAGCCGGTCACTGTCACCTCCCTCCGGCTCGGGTGGCCTGGGGCAGCCCTGGAAACGCCCTTTCCTGGTGGCTCGGTGCCCCGCCCGCCCTGCCTCTGGATTCAGGTCACAGAGACCAGGTGGCCCCTGGCTTTTCCACAGTGACCTACTGAGACCACGTCCAGGTGGTCACACGGACCCCACGCAGGCTCCTCAGGAGGACCCCGTCCTACACTGGGCCAGGATCCGCTCCGGGACCAGGGTCTCCCTCTCCCACCCTCTGCCCGGCTGCCCCTGCCCCGCAGACCCCGCCAGGCTGCCTTCTCTGTGCCTCAGGACCTTTCACCCCAAAACCCGCCGAGCCAAGTGGGCGGAGGGAGCTGGGAGGCCCCGGTTATCTGGAAGCCGGCCTCCTGCTGGACGTCCCTGCCCAGGCACAGGAGCGTGGGAGCCAGCAGGCCTGGGAGGGAGTGGCCCCTGCTCCTTCGTTTCTTGGTTAACTGTCCGGCTCTCACCCCGCGCCGTCTTAAACAACCCTGTTCTGGAAACTTCTGTTCAGCAGCCGCAGTGTGTATCTCAGGGCCTCCTCCACCTTCAATGGGGCTTCAGTGAAGCCATCCCACAGGCCCAGAGAGGTGGAGCCCCTGCCTGAGGACACACAGCGGGTAAGTGAGAACTGGACTCTCACATGGTCTTGCTGGCTCCAAAAGAGGGTGTGTGTCCGTGTCCCTGTCAGGACACACCTGTTCTTCAACCTCTCACAGCTCTCCAGATGTGCTGGGTACATAAAGAGAAGCGTCTGGACCCTAGGAGCCTATGCCCAGCTAAGGCCTCGAGCTCAGGGAAACCCCAGGCTTCAGCTGACGGCAGAGCGTGACCTGTGTCCCCTGATTCTCATCAGCAGGCGTCTGTGTGCACAGCGGTGCCGATCCGTCTGGGAGGGGGGAGCCAGCAGCTGCTTCAGCTCAGGGAGGCGGGGGCCAGGGTCTCCTCTAACGGCCCGGCCACCCCGCCCAGGGGACTGGCTTCCTGGGAGGGGAGTAGTGGGACCCTGCGTCCCTGCCCAGGGGCCGAGGCCAGCAGGGGCACCACCCAGAGTGGGGTGGGGACCGTGGGGGACAGGACTCTGGGGATTTTCCAGGCTGACAGGGGTCTGGCTGGGGACCTCAGTCCACCCTGCGCCAGCGCGTGCGACAGAGCCGGAGAGGGCTGCCTCTGCCTCTCCCCGTGGTCTTTTTGAAGGACCCAATTACCCCAGCTCTGGCCCGGGTGGTACCTTGGCCGCTGAAGCCCAGGGCTTGTTAAAAGCATCTGACAGCATCTGTCATCCGAGCTGCGAGTCGGAGCAGGAATCACAACGCCCCTTTCCCACGCCAATTAGAAGGCTGTCAGCAGCCAGCGCCAGGCCTGCCTCCTCCTTTCGGTCCCCCCTGGGACAGACGGGCGGGGAGCACCGAGGTGGCTCCGAGGGTCTGCAGACTCCAGCCTCACCTGAGGCCGGCAGAGCGCTGCTTGACCTGGGAGACCGGGGCCTTGGGGGGAGCGGAGCGTCCAACGCTGCACATCTAAGTGCAGAGGAGGGCCCTGGCCTGGGCCACCAAGCCCAAGGTCAGCCGGAGCCCCAGGTGCGCAGTCCCTGCCCCACGGCCTTTGCCTCTGTGCCTGTGGTTCAATCCCTTGGGCATCCGCCCTCCCACCCTCCCAGCCCCAGGGCTCAGCCCACTCCTGCTGTCCCCTGGAGGGCCTGCGGGAGCTCAGGCGCTGGTCCTCCTGCCACCCATCAGAGGGGTCACCCTGAGAGCTGCGTGCCATCCACTGGGTCCGTCTCAGCCCAGGTCCTAGGCACCAGCAGCCTGGCTACCCAACTCAGGCAGGACCGTCCCCGGCAGAATAATGGCAGCTGTGACTCTAGTTGACCTTGAGGGGCCACCTGCGGTGGCAGACACCATTCTGACTAAGTCACCCATGAGGTGGGCATGGCCACGTCCCGGCATCACAGATGCAGCCGTGGGGCACAGAGAGGTTAAGTCACTCTCTCAGGGTCCCACAGCCAGGATTCCAGGCCCAGCACAGCTGGCCGTGGGCCAGGGCATTGCACTCTCTTCCGAGGAGGCAGCGGGGAAGGCAGGCCCTCTGCTGTCCGACAGCCGTGCCCCTCACCCCCTCTTCTGGACAGTCCTCCCACCGGCCTTGCATTTCCTCCTCTCTCTGCAAGGAAACCCGGCACCTGGAGCCTCACTGGGGTGAGCCCGCTGCACCCTAGTAGGGGTCTCCCCGGGCCAGCCAAGGGGGGCTCCAGGAGGCTCCTGCGGTGGGCAACAGGCTGGATGGGACAGGGCCCTGGGGCGGTCAGTGGACCAGCAAGGAGGCTCCCACAGGGGAGCCGGGCCAGGCCACAGAGCCTGGGTCCACAGCGCTCCCGGGAGTCCAAACAGCCCCCTGGGCAGCACTTCATTCCTTACCCAACCTGCCGCCCCGGAGGCCAAGTCAGCCCCAAACCCAGGGAGATCCCCGCCCCACAGCCACCGCCACCCGTCAGAGCTGCCTCGGATCCCGCAGCCTGGCCCTGCAAACCCTCCGGCCGTGGCCTGCTCCTGGCATCACATCTGCCCGCCCCTGGACCTGGCTCCAGTACTGTGCCCCAGCAGAGCCTGGCCCGCTCCTGCCCTGGCTCCGGCGGCCTCTTTCCCCAGTGA